ATAGCTAGCGCTAACCATCTGAGCTACCACGGCACTATTCTTAGAGTCATAGAGCAACACGTGCCACCGGTGAAGTGAAGGGGTATAGCCATACGCAGGCATCCCTCTCTGTCAAAGTACAAGTCCACGCGGTCCTATGCGTACAATAAAACTAGTTACAGCCGCACTGTTTACTAGACTAAATCAAGTTGTGACACTGAAACGACATCCCACAAAAATTCAGAATTGTTCAATTCATTGCTGCAAAAAGATCAAGGCATGAAGATCTACCACGTCAAATTTACAAAAATATGGCGTTACCTTCATATATTTATAATTAATTTCTAATCATATTATTGCTATTTACTTCTTTTTAAAACTTAAAAATTATAATAATAATGGTGGTATTGTTTCGGATTTGTAGCAATACAGGCCGCTCGCTCTTCTACAATATGCGGATCGGTCGTGCGACTAATCCAAGTCTGTATCCGAGTTTTCGCTGTCACCGAGCAATAATGCTATAATGTGTGTGTGAATTTGTATCTTGTTTTAATTGTTATGTACGAGTTTCATAGTGACAGACGATCGTTTTTGCTTGTGCAGATTACCCCACATAATATGAGAGAGAGTTCTGTATCGGAAAAAACGTTATGGCTACTCTCGTCCGGTCCGCCGGTGATCTGTGTTGCTCTATGTCTTAGACCAATTAAACATCGCTTAGTAATGAAAATACGAAGCGATTTTTTTTCTTCTATAATGGAATAAGAATTAGATTTTTAAAATATTTGTTACTGTAAACCAAATCTGCAAATATTCGAGGTTTAAAAATATCAAAATGCTTCATAAAACAGCAACTAATTGCGTTACCCATATAATTACCATCTCAGTCCAACATTTTGTGCTCGTCAGACATTTCAAATATTCACTTAAAACCATGAATGCACTTATGGCATACCAACAGTTTTCCGGTGTCTATCTTTCCGTCCAAACACAATCTGGGCACCTTTAAGGCAAGAGTGAATAGGCTCTTGTTACGCTAAGACACTGCGTAATTTACTACCTAGGGCAACATCGCCACTTACCACCAAGTGGGATTGTGGTCAAGCATTGGATTAATATAAGTAAAAAAAAACAACCATACACGTTTTACGATAATTTTAAGCTTAATTTAGCTGTAAATAGGCAACTAAAGCCAGTTTTGTCAGTGAGGATAACTAACTACATCTTGAAGCAAGCTCCTCTACCATATGGTTCAGGCAGTGCGTTCGTCTAAAGCAGTACTCACTGAAGTTTATTGTTGTGCAATACTTCACGCTGGTGCTGGTTACCAAATGTGTTTTGAAAGTATCTCATAAAGTTACAGCTACAAGAAGTATTGCTTAAATAATTTTTAATTTGATGGAAGAGCGTGTATGAAAATTTTCCAAGAAAATTTAAACGTAAGCAATTACGAAACTCTTCCTGTTTGTTTGAATCGGCGCCAATTTACCAAAATAAGTTTCATTTCACCATGATCTTTGACCTTGATATTTCGACTTTACATAATTGTAAACTGCGACAATTTTAATACAATAATTCAATAATTTAAACTTAATGACTATGTGAAGTATAATCTGTTTAGAACAGCATTTATTAATATTTCACATTTCATTTTGTAGGAAAATAAAAAGAATTAACTCTCCGCAATCATACAAGGATAAGGTTGCTTCTAATTACTTTTTAACAATTTATGAGTATATTTTTCTTTTGGCCGCAATAATAAGTTAAGAAATAATAAATTGAGATATAAAAATATCACAATTCATTCAAAAAACAGATATTGTGCATTAACAATTTATACTATTTGATGACTAAAATAAATAATAAAAATATAAAATATACTAACTAAGTATCTTATTTGATAATTAATACCGCGGAAAAACAAAAACGAAAAAAGCCATTTTTTATAGAATAGGGTGACAAACGAGCACACAGTCCACCTGATGGTAAGTGGTTGCTGTGGCCCATAGACTACTACATTTATCCTCGTTTGCGAATCAAAATGCAGATGCGTTGTCACCCGTGAGGACTAAGATGGAATGCCTCTTTTCCAGTAAAAAGGGTCTCCGGTTCTCTACACTCACCATACGAAACACAGCAGTATTGAGCTGCTATTTGACGCTGGTATTCTGTGAGAGCGTGGTCCTTCCCCGGTCGAGCCGACCCATTCATGCTACAACTATACAAATAATATAGCTGCAGCATGGCTCTACCACGTACGTTGCCTTTTGAATCACCATTTCAATAATATATAATAAATGATTGTGCTTCAAAAAATTTATTTTTTCTATTGCTTTTCCATCCATATAAAATATTAAATAAGATATCTACATGTTAAATTAAATAATTTTTCATATTTAGTGTGCCCAAATTTAGTAACACAGTACTGATTGTGCTAAAAAAACTTCATCGTCTTCAACTATGTTACTTCGAATTAATTATTTATTCTTTAAACTACAACATTTATATATGGAAACTTTTAAGCTAGAGTCCACCGACCGTATTATTTTGTTTTATTTTTTGTTTTCAACTATTTTCAGCCAAAATAACCATTTTCGTTTATTTTCGTTTTTAATTTTGTTTACCGCCATAAGCTATGCACTATACAGTTTACTACTTATAAACACTTTGAATAAAAGTATATTTACGGATTTTATAGTGTTTAATTTACTTATTTTGATTCCCGACGTTTCGGGTGCTTAACAGCACCCATCGTCAAGAGGGCTGGCTACCTTCAGTGTTTGAATATTAATTTTTATTTATTTGTATAGATATATATATAATTCATATAAATGTACGGAATTAATGACAAATTGTTACTTGTTTACTTCAAAAAACAGTTATTTAATTCTAACCCTGCTTTAAAGAAAAAAATTCATTAATATCGGTTTACAACTGATGAAACCATCTCGATTTTCTTGTACAAAAGTAATAGTTAATTATCAATTTTTCTTAAATTGAATTATTCGTGGGTACATCACCGGTGTGCTTACTTTGACGTAAAACTGCTATCAAACATTAAATGAAAATGATTTCGCTTGAAGACAATAAATGGGCAATTAGCATTTTATTACAAGATCCCCTTGGTTTCTTCATGTTTCACTTTATTAAGTTAAATGCTATACTTTACATAATTAATTGTAAAAGCTTTAAGTTTCAAGTGTACACTTGACAATAGTAATACTATATTTTAATACATACACAGTAGGTATGTATTTAGTTAGATAGATAGAAATACCATCGACAATATCAATATGCATTGTTACCAACAAAATACAATTTTTTTAGACAAAGGATATTTACAGGTGTATACATCATTATAAGAAAAAAAAAACTAAACAACATAGATATAAAGACTATAACGAAATACAAATCAAACATTACAGTAAAAGCAACACATCCAGTAATATTTATAATAAATAATACTTTAGAATAATTAATCTGGCAAGATAAATAGTAAGTCATTTCATTTTATTTACTTTTATCATGATATCAAACGCATTATCTTCAACATTTAACATCATGTACAAGTCGACAAGATGCAAAGGACCTGCCCGTGACGTGTCCAATGACGGTAATTATGCTATTTCGACCACGGTAACAGAGTACGTATATTAAAAAAAAAGTAATATCTGTGCAGATGTACCCAAAGTGTACGCACTAACACGGTGCGGTGAGCCCCAATCATCCAAATAAAATCCAATGCTACACTGTACTCGCAATATATACACGGAAATATATTTACTGGTAACATGAAATATTGAAAGAAAGAAAGAAAGTAGGAAAGAAGGAGGTATTTCTTTGGCCACTTCATTACAAATTATGGTGGGCACTGGCAACTCATTATAACATTATATGAAGCACTAGCTATGTCCGCGATTTCGTTCGCTTAGAATCTTTGTTAGTAATTTATTTTGAGGCTGAGCCTAAACAGCATAGATAAGTTTACTTATAAGCAGTAATTTCGTCATAAAACCGATTAAGCGTGATATCTTTGATAACACTAATAAATTCCTGTGATTAGAAACTAAGTAACACGTGCTTAAACTAGACATGAGACGAGTACTTGGTTTGGATTCGGTACTCGGCAGATTCAGCCTTTTTTTAAGGTTCGACCAAGCACCGAATATTAACGGCCGAGTACCGAGTACACGGCCTTAATTATATTTCAAAGAAAAATAAAGACAAAAAGTTAGTTTTTATCATTATTATTATATTAGACACATTAAAACATCAGAAACATGAGAAGCAGGAGAAATATTTAGAACGTACATAAGAATCTATAATAGAAATTATTATTATTAATATTTAAAATTTAAGAGAGAAAGATTGTGATGCAAAAACACTAGTCTAGTTTGTAATGGAAATAACCGACGCCGCCCGCTACCGCGTTTTTTTTAAAGCCGAGTATTCGGCAGAGTACTCGGCCCAATCTAGGCCGAGTACCCGGTGGCCGAGTACTCGGCGAATTACTACTCGTTCCATGTCTAGTTTAAACATCTTTGAATACGCCTCTCCTAACCGAAAAATAGACGATGAAAGCTGTTATTAAAGTGTAAACTATTTTGATGCGGTTTCCAGTCAATCAATATATGTTTTATCGTACACCAGTACACACTGAAACAAAAACGAAATGAAATAAGTATAGAAAGTACAGTAGACGGCTCTATTGTTTAGGAAGCGATTTCTTCGAGACACCCTTATTGCGCAAAGAATTGTTCCCGACAAATGGTTAGAAGAGAGGTGTACATAAATTATACAATCAAGTTAAAAAATAAATAAAAATAAAAATGATGACGAAGATGACAGTAAAGACGGGAATAATGAAGGAAAATATTAAAATTTCACGTAATCAGCTTTGAGTAGATTTTTGAAGGAAAAAGGCAAGGACTTCCACATTTTAATTTCTATAGCATTAAAAAATAAACAAAGATAAATCTCTCAGCGCAATGAAGTGTACAATATTTTTGGTCAGGCCGTCTTTAGCCAATACAAACAGACTGGACTTTTCCCACTCCAGAACATGCCACATATAGTTGTCCATGGGAAAAGCATGGTGTACCCAAATCTAAGCCACAAACAGACAAAGTTTGTCCTTGTGACTTATTGATAGTCATTGCGAATGCCAATCTAATTGGTAATTGAATGCGTTTGAATTCAATTGGCACATCTGTAGGAATCATAGGGATTCGTGGCAGCAATACATTTTCACATCGTAACTTGCCATTCATAATGCTGGCTTCAACAACGTTTTGCATTAATTTCTAATGACTAATCGTGTGCCATTACAAAGGCGTGGTGGGTTCAAATTACGAAGCAAAATAACAAAATAACACATAATATTAGATTGTTATAATTCACAATGACACTCTTCGTTCAATATGGCATCTATAAATAGCGAAACCGAATGCATGCGCCCTAACCTACTAGCTATTGATGTACCATTTATGTGATGTGAAGAGATTCGAGCTAGGTTATGATGCACTGCCAAAGCCAATAACAACACAAGCGGACTCAAAAACAAACAAATAGCGTTTTTATATAAATGTTTTCACCAGCTGAGATTATAACCCAAAAACCGCGGCGTAGCGTCTAGGTGCTCTGACCACTAGTGTATGCTTTTTTCTTTTCATTATTGACATCAAACCAACATCGTACTTATACCATTCATGTTTATAGACAGTCAAAGATATAGATAGATACCGTACATAAACCAAAAATGCAATAGATAAAAATTATGAAATGTTATTTAAAATTTTCAAAAAATTTCCCATAGACAAGAAAGTAAAATCCATCATCATATTAGAACAACACGGTATGGTAATATTTAAGAAACCTAAGACATATATAATGCCGAAGCGCCAAGTTACACAAAGGAGGAGATATCTCATACCTAGGGTTGAAAATTACTTTGGACGACGTACAAGGCAATGAATAACTCCGACCTTGTGTAATGAGGTGGCGGGTATTTATGACGAAAACGTAACTAAGTCGCAGCTCAAAACAATCTTGAGGAAACATTACCTGTCGTTGTGTCCTTAGTAGAGAATGTTTGTTTAATTATGTGTGTGTTAATTTAAGTATTATAAGTAACTTATATTGTTATATAGGAGTGTGAAACGATAAACTGTTGCGTTGCCGACAAACTGGCATACAGTTTGGCAAAGTTTGAAATGTAAATAATGTAACACTCTTTCTACGAATAAATTAAAAAAAAAACATTCAAATTACGTAACATGTATTATATTACTAATTATAATTGGACGCAGATTATTGAAAAGTATCCAACCCACCATATTGCCAAAAATTTTATGTAGCGAAAAGCGGGGCTGGAAGTTCCGATTTTGAAATAAACATATAAACATAAACACTCACGCCTGTCACCCAGGGGGGTAGGCAGAGACTACGGACTTCCATTAGGCACGATCCTGACACACCTCTCTTGCCTCCTTTACATCCATATATCTACGCATACACACTCGTGGGTTAAAGGTACTCCTAATCTGGCCCATTTTGAATATAGCGCCAATTTGTTCGATAAATCTTCGTCTAAGGCGTCCCTTTCCGACTCTGCCGTTTACTTCTGCAACATAAATTTGCTTTTCCACTCTTTCCTCGTTCATTCTTTCTACATGACCAAACCACCGAAGCATTCCTGGTCACGTCATCTTATAAACCACACTTTTCTCTTATCACACTATTTCTCACCCTGTTATTCAGATTCAGCCCTAGCATACTCCTTAATGACCGCATTTCTAATGCATTTATTTTACTCTCATGCTTCTTTTGTCAGACCCAACTTTCACTAACACATTAAACTAGGGACTAACACAGCATTATGAATTGTCATACTTGCCTTTTTTGACACATTCTGGCTTTAGATAATAGCCTGTAGAGACTAATTCACTCTATTTCCTGCGTTCACTCGTCTTTATTATATCTACCATCCCTGCTAAATAAACATCCCAAATATACAAACTCATCCACTTGCTCAATCGAATCGCCTTCTATTCTTATTTCACATAACGTTTTACTATCTTCTCTTTCAAAAACAATCACTTTCGTCTTACTTGCGTTCACTTTCATACCCTTTTCTTTTAATGACCAGTTTAATAAAGTAACCATATTTGCAACACGGCCGCCGACGATGCAAATATGACTTGATCATCTGTGTACAAAAGGCATTTGACGGTTAACTCACCCATTCTTAGCTCACATTCTTTAACTTTCAAAGTTTGCAAACAACTGTTCATAAATAGGTTAAAAAGCCACGGGGAAGCCACAGAGCCAACGCCTGAATAGACCATTAATTCGGCATAAGACCAAGTAATGATCCGACCCTACGTTGGACCCCCGGTAAGCCCTTGTATCTACCACTGCGCTCCTCATTCTGTCGTCCACAATTATTAAATCTATCATGCTTCTATCATCCTCTCTTTCCCATGTATACATGTGAATCCTTTTATGGCGAAAGAAAGTGTTCGTCACAAAAAGATTATTTTCCACACATACGGTAAGGAGGTCTTCACTATTCTCATTTATCTCCTGAAAAACCTAGAGAGGCCTCAAAAATTGATGCAATTCGTGCTGATTTCTTTGTTTGGGAAATTTTGATACTGCTTCGCATTTTCTCGAGCCCGGCCGTATACCATGTGCACTCACTTCAAAACCAAGGAAATCAATATTTTAGAAAAAGAAGTTACATTTACTTAGTTTTTATGTGAGGCCACCTTTCCTCAATAAGCCCAGCACTTCTTTTAGTCTTGCTAAACCTTTGTCAAACCCTTTACAAGGTATTAAAATATCGTCCATATATATTCAAGCGTATTTAATTTTAGCCTCGGATAAAATTTTATTCATAGTCCTCAGAAAGATAGATGGTGCATTGACAAGTCCAAATAAATGGCATTCGATTATACTCAAACTGCCCATCTGGGGTTTCAAATGGAGTTTTAAAACGCGAGTTCTCATTGATCGGTATTTGGTAGTAACCGGATGCTAAATCTAATGATATAAATAGATTATTACCTGCTAGCAAGTCCAGTTGGTCTTCAATACGAGGAAACGGATAGCGGTCCTTTTTTGTCTTACGGTTTAAAGTACGATAATCCACGCACAATCTCTTATCGCCAGTTTTTTTCTGTACCAGCACAATTGGACTAGCATATGGGGATGACGATTCCCTGATAATACCACTATCAACCACTTCTTGAACCATTTCTCTAACTAGACACCTCTCTGAGTAAGCCATACGGTACGGTCTGTATACGTTGGTTCCGAATCTTAGAGCTCAATAACCATTTCGGTTGCATTAGTTGGTCCTAAGTCCTTCATACAATTCGAGTAATTGTTTTGAAATTCTTGAACTTGTCGTTGCTCGGTAGTCAAATTAGGATTACAGATTATGGAGTCATCTTATTCAGTTTTACTTATAGTAATTTCACAAACGTCCGCAGTTTGATGTGTTTGGGCAGCTCTTGTCAAGAGTCTTGTCAAGTAAATTCTTTTCTATGATAATATCCTCGTTGGACACGTTATAAATCAGCAACGCATATTTATTCTTTCTTACGGCGTATTTTCCGGTAGAAGATAGTATTCTTTGCCTGAGGGACCTCAAGTCGACCCACTTACATAAGCGTATCCTTTGTTCAACGATTCGCAGTGAAGTAAGCTGTTAATGGGAATTATTAATCTGTTCTGCGAAATCAAATGAACCTTTTGATGTTGGATTTTCTGAAATATAATCTTATCTGGAGTTTTTGTAATCACTATGTCCAGTTTCTCAGAGAAAGAATGACCCAGTAACAATGGATACCTCAAAATGTAATCTTGTACCACATATATGTCGACAACTTCTTTGATATCCTGCACTTCCACGGTAGCTATTATCAATCCCAGTGGTCGAACAAGATTTGCACCAATACCCCTTAAGTTAGGCAACTCCGCGTTTTTAATCATGTTCACATCTAGTAACTTAGCATCAGTTTCTCTCATAAGAGAACATTGACTACCCAAATACAAATGACATTTAAATGTTTTATCGTTAACTTTTACGTCCATTACATATTTATCATTAGTTATGCCGGTTACACAAAGTCTAGAAACCTGTTTTTCATTTATGTTGGCGGAGGTGTTACCAGGAATTTATTTGTTTTTGTTTCTATAAGAGTTTGAGAACTGGTAACCAATCCTATCGCAATTCGTGCATTTAATCAATGGTTTCTCGCATTTAAAACATGGGTGGCCTATCATTTTGCAATTAAAACACCGTATGTTAGAGTTATTTCTAGCAAACTTCGAAAAAGATGGTTTGTTAACGTTAACATTTTAATCTAATCTATTCTTCCTTATATAATCGCTACTGTCTCTAGAATTTCCAACCCTAACAGAGCTAAAATACTTAAGGACTTGTTCTTGTTCAGAAATTTGTACTGCCTGTGCTCCAACAGTACAACAGTTGGAGCACAGGCAGTACAAATTTCTGAACAAGAACATATAATAATAGCACGGTCATCAACGCCATGAAGTGGACAATCTACTGCTTGCCTACCGCTTATTTTGCAACGATTTAACAGATTCATTTTAGAGTAATAATAATGTTCTAACAACTCGCCATACCTAACCCGCTTGTTCAGAATTTCTGTAAGAAGTTCGGTTCACATAAGCTTTTTCATCCATTTCGTCTAACTGTACAACAAAGTTGGAAGACCTTGAGGCCATGACCTAGCAACACCGCATAATTTCGGAAGTAAATAGTGAATTATTTCCTTTTCGTCCCAACCATAGATCTCTGCACATTCTTCTACTTTATTAATCCACGTGAGTATGGTCTGTTCCTTTGTCATGGGATCAAAGTCTGTTTACTATTGTAAGATTATTACGACGTTATTATTTTAAGATAGTCTAGGTTTATCCGAACTCCTTACGTCTTTGTTCGCGACGGTTTAAAGACTTTAAGCGAAAAGTGATGAAAGAATATTAAATTGTTTAAAAAGTGAAATTAGCAACAAAATCGAACAAATTGTGTATTAATATGGTTTTACAATGAGTTTACAACTCTTAATATACTTATATAAAATGTCGTTTTTAATAATAGTTGATATAAACAACTTTAATCATTTAATAAAGATTCGACCAATCACAGCGCAGCATATCGTGGAACTTTCTAGAAGTTAATTAACTGCGCAATAGTTTATATGAAAATAATAAGAATATTTTTGTGTTCTGAAAGAATTGTAAATATGATATTTAGTTAGCATATGGTGTATAGGTTGCAATAGTAAAGAGATAATTTGTGTAAATAAACGCATTTGATAAATATAGTAAAATTAAAGATTTAATGTGCACATTTGTTATGAAAATTTGGTACATTTTGATTAATAACTTTTTTAAATGTAAATATATTGAGTAACCTTTATCACATAATGATAAAGGACCAAAATGCCTATTTAATAATGTATAGCGGGTTAATGTAAAAACTAGCATTATATAGAAAATATTGCGATTTGTGCAAATTACATAATGAAAATGTTTAATAATAAAAAGGCAAAACCGGAAAATGGCAAGCGGCTCTCTATAGAGTATAGCCGAAGTCTACCTTATGGGGGCAAATCACAGTAACATTGTAGTAGGAAGAACTACCAGTAACAAGCAGTAGTATCCGGTAGTAGCTGAAGTGACTAGTAGCAGAACACAGTGAAAAGTTATAGTGAAATAGAAAAAGTTTAGCTAGCCGAAAAAGGTCGTAACTGAAAATCGCAGTTACACATAGTCGAAAAAAGTGGCAACTGAAAATTCTCAGTTGCATATAGTAAAATAGTGTTAGCTAGCTGAAAAAAGTGGTAACTGAAAATTCGCAGTTACATATAGTGAAAAAGTGTTAGCTAGCCAGAAAAAGTGGTAACGGAAATTTCGCTGTTACATATAGTGAAAAGTGTTAGCTAGACGGAAAAAGTGGTAACTGATATTCGCAGTTACAAGTGTTAAATTCAACTAATTTTAGTTGATTAATAGCTGCTAGTCAGTAGTGTTAAAAAACCAGCTACTACCAATAGATATTTTGATACTACCAATAGAAATTTGTTACTTCCAATAGATATTCGAAATTACCAAATAGATATATTTGAAAATACCAATAGAAATTTGTTACTGCCAATAGATATTTGATATTATCAATAGATATTTTGAAAATACGAATAGAAATTTTAAAAACCAATAGAAATTTTAATATTACCGTGTGTTTTAATTAAATCTGTGTTTTGAAATATATAGTGAACAACCATAGTTGAACAACCGTGTTCAATAAATAAATAGTTATAATATTTCGCAACTAATTAATCAGTCGAACCGCTGGCCACTCCCTCGCTGTTTTAATTTATAAATCGTGCATTTTTAATTCTGAACCTCAGTCCACAGTTCTCCAACAGCATACACAAAGGCTGTAGTGAAAGTATCCTCCGGAACCTATAGGTGTAGGACGTGAGCGGCTCGCGGAGTATCTTCGACAACATTTACTCAGGAGAGTTACGCCCGTCCGGCACATTCGCTGGTCCTTCGAGCCGGATTCTTCCGTTTATACTCCGAGCCGAGTCCAGCATTCGCTGGTCCTTCGAGCCGGATCTTATCCGTTTGTATTTCGGAACCGGATACATAGTCACTACCGTATTAAAGTCAGCAGAATTTTCAGAATCAAGATGCCGATCACTCGTTCGCAAGGAAGGGGAGCCATGGCGTGGACCGTCGGTCTGGAAGGAGGCCCGTCGGACAATACCGACGCCGTCCACCACCAGATGCCACCACGCTCACCATCGACCACAGAGGGCGCTGAGGCGCCACCTTGCCCCCGCGATGGGGGGGTACTCCTCCCCGTGCCGGCCACTACAACCGGTACACCGAAGCAGATGAAACAAATAGAGGGCAACGATTACATTCGATGTGCATCACCGCCAACAGTTCGGGAAGACTCCCGCACGGAAGAGCCACCGAGGGGCCACCGAGACAAAAGTACAAAGTCAAAGAGGACTATTCGGCCCAATAAAAAAGTTTTGAAGGCTCGTGAAGAAGTGCTGAGAATTAAATTGGAACTCGCACAAATTTCCTTACAAATGGCTGAGGAAGAATATGATTCGGACGACTATGATGAAGATGGTCACTCCAAAAGCGAGTACGTCCGATCTTGGCTCGAAAATTCCGTAGCCAAGCAAAAACTAACTCAAGGCGCTGCCACCGGAGGGGAGGCCCCACTAAACAAAACCGTCACAAGGCCACCCCCGGAGGTTGTCGACCTCAGTGAGCCGCAAAAGAAGCTCTCAAACCATGGTTCGAAGGTTGATGAAGAAAGGGGGCTCCTACCAATCGTATCAGAGCCCACCTACCAGGATCACGATCCGGAAGAAGTACCCAAGAATCCTGTGCCACTAAAAATTAGCCAGGGCTCGAAGGTTGATGAAGACAGGGAGCTCCTACCAGCTGTATCAGAGCTCACCTACCAGGATCCCTATCCGACAGATGTAACGAAGAATCCCCTGCCAACGAAGCCTAACCAGGCATCTGTCATAAATGAAGACAGAGGGCTTCGACCATTTATATCGGAGCTCACATCCGCTATAGCCGCACTCGATGACAAACCAAAACCAGAGAGTGCATCGTCGCATACTTTCGCAGCATCGAAAGCTATAATGACACTGCCGTGCTTTAGCGGAGCACATACCGAATGGCTATCGTTCCGTGCCATTTATGAAACAACCCGAGGCTACTTCAACGATATCGAAAATACTGCAAGACTACGAAGAAGTCTACAGGGAAGAGCCTTGGAGACAGTTAGTTCAGAACTCATCGGGCATGCTAAGCCGGATGAGATCATGCGAGAACTGGAGCTACAATTTGGGCGTCCAGACTCAATTGCACAAGCTGAAACCGAGAAGTTACGAGGATTGCCACGCTGTACAGAAGCGCCTAGAGATATTTGCACATTCGCAAGCAAAGTGAGGGGAAGCGTCGTCACTCTACGGGCACTCAAACGAGACCATTACCTCATCAACGCAGAGCTGCTACGACACCTCACAGACAAATTGCCCAATTCTATACGCGCACAGTGGTATAAAGTTTACACCGAAAAATACGACTCTAGACCAGACCTCGGTTCCTTCAGCGAGTTTATCACTGAACAAGCTCGCTTCTGTAGTGCATTTGCGCCTCCCGAAATCATTAACGGGGCGCAGAACAATCGTTCAATACACAGAACGCACACGGCAACAACTAAGCCGTCTCCAAAATGCAGTGTGTGCCAAAAAGAGGGTCATTACGGATCCGACTGCAAAAAATTTAAAGAAGCAGATGCCGATAAAAAATGGGAAATTGCAAAACAAAGCAATTTATGTTTCCGCTGCTTACGATACAGAAGTCAAACACACGAATGTAAAATCAATAAGTGTGGCATAAAAGGATGCACCGCGACACATAATAGGCTTCTCCACCACAATAAAAAGGAGAAAACGGAGGTCACACAAATAGAACCTCAGGAAACAGTTGCAAATTCATTCGCCGTGTCAAAGCATCACGCCTATTTAAAAATAATACCAGTCCGAGTAATTGGACCGGCGGGAGCTGTAAATACACACGCACTGCTGGATGATGGGTCAACAGTCTCATTAATGGATGAGAAAATTGCCAAACAAAACGTTACCCCCACACTAGGATTTTCTCCTGTGTCGTGGAGGCAGTTTACAAACATAAATTGCACAAGGACAAACATCCAGAACCGGAACAATTATTTGTAGGCCATACAAATACTTGTTCCGTGCGGGATTCGAACCCGCGGCCCCCAGCGCAACAACTGATTGCTAAGCCACTGCGCCACGGAGCCGTTGGAGCAACAGGGCGGTTGGACCCCTTTAAGATCACCGCCATCGGGAACAACACCCTCGATTCGCCGAACTCCCGAAGAGTCAAAGATTCGCTCAAGAGTCTCCACAGGAAAAGGGTGCAATTCAGAGCACGCACGGTCGCCAGCCTAAACTTGGGGCCACAGACTGTGTGTGCAACAGATATAGAAAATTGTA